GAGTGAAGCCACGTGATTGGCGACGAACCCAGTAGCTCTCCGACGGTGATGATCAATCCGGCAGTGGGGTAAGCCAACAGCGAACTCCGGCAAATCTATAGCGGCGGGAGGGGGCATGGGTGACGTCTCCGGCAATCCCCTCCAATTTCTATCGACTTCTAATAGCGCCTTGGGTATTGCAGAGGGTTGACTTGCCATCGACGACGGTGTTCTGGCAAACAACCTCCAAAGACTCGGTGACTCCCTCCCGGCAATAGAGCAATCGGGCGACAGATGGCAGTTGTAATCTAGACAGCGGTACCAATTTGGGAAGCAGGTCTGTTCTGACGATGGAATTTGAATGATGTTATTTTTGCAACACCGCAACCCGCATAACCCGAATAAATGGATTAGCGAACCGGGTTGCTACTAAATTGGTACCCACATACAATATTTTTCAACAAATTTTAAAAAACATTTAATTTAAAACTCAAACAGCTTAAATTAATTTAAATACATATCAGAGTTTATACAAACAGTGCGGAAGCCTTATAATTAAATCAAACATTAAATCTCTGCATCCGTACATCTCCTCCGTCATGATGCTCTCCGGGATGGATTCCAGAATCAATCTACCACAACCACCTACGTGTAGCAAATAGGAAAAAGGGCTACACGCTCACTATTGAAGCTAAGTGAGAAATATCTAACTGTTCGAACATACACATAGGCGAATCCACTAATTCACAATCATCACATGATATCATGCACACAACATGCTTGTCAACAATCACACGACATACGAGATATAACATGCATAATCAACTTCATAACAGTTCATAAGATACAAACAGTATCGGTATATGTATTAGGAACTTTCCTTTTTAATTTACTTTACTTTCCTTATCGTACTTGGCTCTTAACCTATACTAGGTTAAAGCTTAACTGAATTCGACTTGCCTATGGAGTCATGACCTTCCCCTTCGGAAAGAAGGTCAAGCTCAAACCAACTCGGGAGTTCCTCATTGGCTGGGTGAGATCCCTGTCCCCTTCGGAACGACAGTTCTTAGATCCCCGTGTACACGTTTTTACCCGAACAACCATTGGACCTAGCAGGTACCACATGGCTCTAACTAACTGTACTTATGGCATACCTTGCCACTAATCCATTCAGGTCATTTCCTAGAGTTTTTCTAGGTGATATATCCAATATTCATTAATCAGTAGTTTCAGTACATAATACAACATTCATAAATCCACAATGCATTTAACAAGATATCCAACATAAGTCAAATAGCGGCCTAACACTGGGTGTAGACACCCATGTTTACCGTCATGCAACACACGGAGTCTCGGAATGAATCCTTGACGAAAACACAGATCGACAAACCCGGTATCAAGTACCTGTCACGGTACGGGGTACCGTCCTTACAGTACCGGGGGTACCGTCCAAATCAATGAACTCTTTCGGTAGGACTGCTACGGTAGCCAACTACCGACCAGGCAGTAGGGCCTACCGTCCGTCCGGTACCTAGGTACCGTACGGTTGCAGCTACCGACAGAGGCAGAAGAAACAAACAGAGGGTGATGATAGCACGATACCGTCCTGGCGGTACCGCCTACCGTATGACGCAACAATATCCATATTCATACCTGTTTTGTTTTCAGCATCAACCAGCAAAAGTCTCATAACAACAAACACCAGTAAGTTCATATTAACATTCTAAACATTATCAAACACATTAATTCATCAATCAATGCCTATGTCATGCATACTACCCTTTTGATTTGACAACAGCAATTCCCGAAACCATAACCAACAATTATACAGATAAACCACATAGATCAACCACGATAAAAATTATGAACGGAATTTCAAACCTAGATGCATATTCTAGTGTTAGATGTCCACGTACTCACCTCGATTTGGTTCAATTTGATTAGAGAGAGAACTTGACTCGAACGGAGCGTAGACGGAGTCACCCGTACCCTACTGCACAGTCCGGTACCGCTGCCCAAGCAAGCTCGCCACTGCTCAAGCCCGCCCGGATCTGTCATCGTTGCGGCTCAGTCTCATCTTCCTCTGTCCATGGTAAAAAATCACTGCCCGAATCTGACCTTCATGGCCCGGAGGTTGCCGGAGTTGCTGGGTCACCGCGGTTGTCCAGTTGCCGGAGAGAGGTCGTCGATCACCGCTGCGCTTCGCCGGAGTTTCTGCCCAGCCGCTTGAATTCGCCTACCATCTGCAGGCACCGCTGGAGATTGCCGGCTGTTCTCTCGTCATTCCTTAGAGGAATTGGCATCGACGGCGCAAGGTCGAGCAAAACCGCCGGTCGCTGCTGCTTATGGAGGAAGCTGCCAGAAATCGAGAGAGGGAGAGAGAGAATCCCTTGGTGCCGGCGCGCTGGCGCTGATCGGAGAAGAAGGAATGACGATGGGGGTCTGTGATTGGCGGCCTTGGCTCGATCGGAGAAGAAGAACGAAGAAGAAGACAGGGGGCGGCATTGGAAATCTGTAGACGCATGAGAATAAGCCTAATGTTTTGTACTCCGTTATTTAAAATAACGTGTCTGACTTTTCGGGCCCAATTGCTCCAATTTGAGATCTGTTCGCGTCGTTGGATTCGATTCATCGATCCCTACCCAATGATATAACTTTTATACTCAAACGACAATTATTTATAAATTCCACCTGTTCCGTGTTAATTCTTTCGATTAATTAATAACGATCACTCTTCTAATTAAATCTTTACAAATATAATCAGATTAGTCTTGTTATATTGAGACGATTAGAATTTCTAAAATATCTTTTAATTCTTTAAAAGAGTAGATTGTCATAATAATTAATTCTTATTTATTTAATTATCGATTAACTACTAGACCGGTTTCTGGGGCGTTACAATTTTAAATTAAAGCAACGAGTCGAGGTGAGTACATGAACATCTAATACTAGAATGTGCATCTAGTAGGTTTGAAATTCCCTTCGTAATTGTTATCGTTGTTGATCTTTGTGATTTATGTGGTTTCGGGAAATGTTGTAGAATTAAAAGGGTAGTATGCATGACTTAGGCATTGATTGATGAATAAATATTCTTGATAATGTTTAGAATGTTAATATGAGTCTATTGGTGTTTGTTGTTTTTATGAGATTTCTGTTGGTTTGATGCTGAAAACGAAACATGTATGAATATGGAATCTGTTGTGTCAGACAGTAGGCGGTGACAGTAACGGACAGACTGTAGACCCTACTGCCGGGTCGGTAGTGGCTACCGTGACAGGCCTACCGGCTGGGACTAGTTGGTTCAGACGGTACCCCCAGTTTGTAGGACCGGCACCTAGGTACCATGAGGACGGCACCATACCTGATGCCAGGTCCGTCGATCTATGTTTTCGTCAAGGATTGATTCCAAGACTTTGTATGTTGCATGACGGTAAGCATGGGTGTTTACACCTAGTGTTAGTGTTGGAACACGGGTTTACGCCTAGGTCGTACTAAACTGTGTTCGTTTTATGACAGGTTTCGATAATGCCAAACCGCCGTGACATAACAAGGCTAAAATGAGAAAAACCAAGGCGAAGGAACATGGCATGATGATTTGAGAAACAAGAACCAAGAATCAAGAACGAAGAATTAGAATTGCATAGAGTCGGTGTTAATGTGATCAATACCGGCACAAACTTTCAAATCTTGGCTCTCTAGGCTCATTCCATCAAAATACTTTTTGCAAATTCAAAAATGTTTTTCATAAGTTTTAAACATGCCTAAAAACACTTGGAGTTCGCCCAAATAAAAAACCAAGCCATCCAACGTTCGGCTTTCGGTTATCGGCGTTGGTTTTTGGCAACCGAACCAACCAAGTGGTTTTCAACTTTTTATGATCGGTTTTTACTTCTGGGCATATTTAAATAGTTCTCCAACAAAAACGCTTCAAAAACCACCTTCTGTTTTTGGTCGTTTAGTGAAAACCATGCGAAACGGCTCAAACTTGGTTAGCCGTGGTTTTCAATTAAATGACGTGGTTTTTGAGATGTTTTACTTGATTTCTTAGCAAAATGCAATAAACAAATGTTTTCAATACTTGGTTTTTATTTTGGAGAACTTACATTTTTGACATCGGCTAACGGCATAACTAAACCAACCATGGGCCTGGCTAAACTAGCCCAACAGCGATGTTGGTGTAACCAACAGCGCTGTCTGGCTTGGGTAGCTGAAAACCATGGTTTGGCGTTAAGTCTTCTAACAGCGATGTTGGATATTAGACATCGCTGTTGAGCCAAGGTTGGGTTTCCAGAAACATCTAGAACAGCGATGTAGCCTTCCCTACATCGCTGTCCAACCTAAGTCAAAAATAAAGTGCATTGGCAGAATGTTTTTGGACAGCGATGTTGACCCAGCAACAGCGCTGTCAGGCCAAAACTCCACCTTCAAAGTCAGACCTAAACAGCGATGTTCAAGTATTGAATATCGATGTAGGGACCTGACCGTTGGAAGGAATTTAAGGCTAAAACTTTCCTTGTTTGGAAGTCAACAGCCAAAACAGCGATGTAGGAATACTGGACATTGCTGTTGGCATGACCGTTGCTTCCCAATTTTCAAACCCAAGCCTAGAACAGCGATGTCCAAGCCTAGGACAGCGTTGTCTAGGTGAATTTCAGCAAATCCAAATTTAATCAAATCCCACAAATTGTGCCAATCACCCCTTAAATGTTTTGGTCTGTTGGAGCCTATTTTTCTACTATAAAATGGGGTGTTTGGGTCTGTTTTACATATCACATAACTTCACAACTCCTACTCTTTCATTGCAAATCATTCATCCTTTATTCATCATAACTTTTTGAGAGTCATTTTTGTGAAGCTTGTGTTGTGTTCTTGAGCGTTCTTAGTTACTCAATTATCCACTCTAAAAGAGAGTATTGTTCTTGAGTGTTTTTAGTGTTCTTAGACACTTGACAAGAGAAAATATTTCTCTTGTTGTTCGAAGGAAGGGCTGTTTTCCAAAACACCTTGTTTTCAAACAAAACCAGAAAGTTTTCCAACAGCGCTGTCCACCATTGCAACAACGCTGTCCACCATTGCAACAACGCTGTCCATTTTTACAAATTTTTTTCTATCGTAAAACAGCGATGTAGGGAAACCCAACAACGCTGTTCTAATGGGTTCAAACCCTTACACATTTCCAGAAACTTTTGGAACATCGCTGTAGGGTACCAAACATCGCTGTCCAATTGACTCCTGTTTTTTTTAAAACTTGACGCAAAACAGGGCTGTACAAGGGCACAACAGCGCTGTCCCAATAGCGATGTCCCTTGTAGAACATCGCTGTTCTGGTCAAATTTTTCCAAAAAAATACCGTTGGCAACTGCATTAAAAGCTCCAACAGCTATTTTTTCAAGCTTTTGAACGTTAGGAACTCATTCTCCTATATATTTGGACCCCCTCTTGCATATTTCATCCTCACAATTTTTTTTCCAGAATTCTCCACTATGGGCAGAGACAAGAGCAAGGCTGCCACCTCCGGGAAATCAAAGTCCAAATCCGGGCGCCTGTGACGTCCTCCGAGGAACGCCTCTACTACGGCGATGGGTCGTACCTCTGGTTCGATTCTGAGGAGGAGCGCACCCGCTTTCTCACCTTCTTCTCTAAACGGGTTGTGGCTCCCCCACGAATCGTCCCGGAGCGCTTCCCGGAGTTGCAGGGCTACGACGACTTAGACGCGCAGCTTCATCAAGACGGCCTTTGGCCGTTCGTCTCCCGGGCTCGAAAGGAGATCAACCCGGCGCTGATCCGGGCCTTCTACTCCAACCTCCGGCGTGAGGACGATGTTATCTATAGCCTCGTCAAGTCCACGCCGATTGATGTTATACCCGAACCGGGGGTCTAAACGAGTTGCTATTTTAAGGAGGAATCAAGGGATGATGCAGCTTGAGTTCAAGGTTCAGGAGCAGGTGATAATCGATTATGGCTAGGTGATAATCGATTGTGGAGCTGTGCGGCTAAAACCCAGAAACTTCAGGGAAGGGAGATAGTCGATTATCAGTATATGATAATCGATTATTTGGGCTCGCAGTTTATTCCAAGGGAATTCAGGAGGGCAAGATAATCGATTATCTTGTTTGATAGTCGATTATAACAGCAGTCAGGATCCAAAATCTGGGTGGAAAGATAGTGGTGCTTGTGTGGGAATGACTAGGATTTGTGGAGATGATGAGGGAGTTCTTTTGGGTATTTTAATGGAAGAAAGAGTAAGATTAAGAGGAGAAATGGGGAGATATGAAATGGGAGAAAATCAGGGATAGATAAACTAAGTTGGTGTTTAAGAGATATTACACACTCTTATCCTAACTTGGGGTTTGAATCTAGAATTTAATTAAGATATGACACACTTAATCAAATATCTAGAACCTAAAACTCACACTTAAGATAACCACTCTTAAGATATAGAATTAGGAATTTAGCTAAAATAGCATCAAACTATTTTATAAATACTCAAAGAGTAAAATGTTTTAATATTCAAAAGATGTGTTACGCTTAGGCAGGGTTCTATGTCCGTTGAAGAATACAACCGGGAGTTTGAAGAGCTCTTGTTGAGATGTGACTTACAAGAAGATGACGAACAAACCTTTGTTCGTTACCTATTTGGCTTAAACCTACAAATAGCCCACACGGTGGAGTTGCAAAGTTATGACTCTCTTGAAGAACTCACAAAGTTGGCCCTCAAAGTTGAAGCTCAACATAAGAAATCCAAAGCCTTTCTCTCCAAAAATAACACCCCTTCCCCACGGCCCTACTCCTCCACATCCAAACCACCTTACCCTTCACCAAAATTACCTTACACTACCCCCAAAAACCCCACTACTGCCCACGGCCCAAACCCCTCATCCTCCTCCCCATCTACCTCAAGAAACCCTTCCTCCTCTTTCACACCCCGGGCTGATCCCACCAAGAAAGCACCTGTTTGCTTTCAGTGCCAAGGACGAGGTCATTATGCCAATGAATGTCCTAATAAGAAGGTGATGGCCATTGTCGAATGTGATGAAGAAGACTTTGACCCAACTTGGGTTGAAGAAGAAGCAGAAGAAGTGGAAGAACAAGACGAGTACGTAGGTCCCGATGATGGTGAACTCTTGGTCATCCGAAGGACGTTGAGCACTCTAGCATGCTCCGAGGAACAACTACAACTGGAAAACATATTCCACACCCGTTGCACTGTCCAAAAGAAGGTGTGTTCCCTCATCATCGATAGTGGAAGTTGCACCAATGTGGCTTCCAAAACCATGGTAGACAAGCTGCGTTTGAAGACGTCACCACACCCGAAACCATATACGATTCAATGGTTGAATCATGGCAAGGGTCTACGTGTTGACACACAAAGTCTCATTTTCTTGAGCATTGGCAGCTCATACAAAGACGACGTGTGGTGTGATATCATCCCGATGGATGCTTGCCACATCCTCTTGGGACGACCATGGCTGTTTGATCACTGTGTGCAACATGATGGTTATGCCAATACTTATTCATTTTTGATGAATAAGAAGAAGATCACCCTTACCCCTTTACCTCCTCCTACACCCACGGCCAAACCAACCAAAGAACAACCTCCCGTTCTTATCTCCACTATCCTTCAAGCGGAACAACATGAATTCAATGGGATTAAAGATTTGATCCTATTGGAAGATGGAGAAGCCGAACCATCAAACTGCCCAAAACAGCCTCATCCCTTAGCCGAGCCTATCATCCTAGAATATGCCCATGTTTTCCCCGATGATGTTCCACACAGTCTCCTTCCTAAACGAGACATCCAACACAAAATTGACCTCATTCCGGGGGCTGCCCTACCCAACAAACCAGCATACCGAATGAACCCCGAAGAAACGAAGGAAATTCAATGTCAAGTTGATGAGTTGTTAGCTAAGGGCTTCATAAGAGAAAGCCTTAGCCCGTGTGCTGTCCCGGCACTTTTGGTGCCCAAGAAGAATGGAACGTGGCGTATGTGCTGCGATAGTCGGTCTCTCAACAAGATCACTATCAAGTACCGGTATCCGATTCCCCGTTTGGAAGACATGTTGGACGAGTTACATGGCTCCAAGATCTTTTCAAAAATTGATCTTAGGAGTGGATATCATCAAATTCGAATCTTTGAAGGAGACGAGTGGAAGATAGCGTTCAAGACGAACTTTGGGTTATACGAATGGTTGGTTATGCCATTTGGATTAACCAATGCCCCGAGCACGTTCATGCGGCTTATGAATCAAGTCTTGAAGCCGTTTATAGGTCATTTTGTCGTTGTCTACTTTGACGACATTCTGGTTTACAGCAAAAATGAGGAAGAGCATGCTAATCACCTCGCTTTGGTGATTAAGAAGTTGGACGAGGAGAAACTCTACGGCAACCTCGAGAAGAGCCAATTCTTTTCGTATGAAACAGAGTTCTTGGGATATTTTATCTCTAGTGAAGGCATACGGGTGGACGAAAAGAAGACGCAAGCCATTAGAGAATGAACGACCCCAACCATTATGCAACAAGTTCGGAGTTTTCATGGCCTTGCCTTTTTCTACCAGAGATTTGTGAAGGATTTCAGCACCATCACGGCACCTATCACGGATTTGATGAAAAATCAGAAGTTCGAGTGGAACTCCAAGGCCCAACAGGCCTTTGAAACAATCAAGGAGCGATTAAAACATGCCCCCGTGTTAGCCCTTCCTAGTTTTGACAAACTATTCGAGGTCGAGTGTGATGCCTCGGGAGTTGGAATCGGGGCTGTCCTATCCCAAGAAGGGCACCCGATGTCATATTTTAGTGAGAAGCTAAACGACACGAGAAGGAGGTATTCCACATACGACAAGGAGTTCTACGCATTGGTGCGTTCACTTGAGCATTGGTGTCATTACCTCGTGAGCAAGGACTTCATATTACATTCCGATCATGAAGCGTTAAAATACATTCAAGGGCAGCATAAGCTCCGGCCCCGTCATGCTAAATGGGTCGAATACATCCAAACCTTCACCTTCACCATCAAGCACAAAAACGGAACCATGAACAAGGGTGCCGATGCCTTGTCCCGGAGGCACTTATTACTAACGGTACTTAGTACCAGACTTGTTGGCTTTGAATTTTTGCAGGAGCTTTACAAAGAGGATGAAGACTTCAAGGACACTTATTCCAAGTGCCTTATTCGGCCACATGGAGAATTCCTAATCAAGGATGGTTTTCTATTCCGAGGCAACCAACTTTGCGTCCCGAAATGCAGCGTTCGAGAAAACCTTATTAATGAAGTTCACGGAGGAGGCCTAGCTGGTCATTATGGGGTCGATAAGACTCACATGATGATGAAGGAACACTACCACTTGCCAAGGATGGAACGAGACGTGGAGCACTTCATCAAGCGTTGCAACACGTGCCACCTCGCCAAAAGTCAGTCGCTGCCCCAAGGAAAGCATTTGCCCTTACCCGTTCCCCTTGCTCCATGGGAAGATATCAGCTTGGACTTCATCACCGGGCTGCCAAGGACACAACGAGGCAAAGATTCTATCATGGTCGTCGTGGACCGGTTTTCAAAGATGGCCCACTTTGTACCATGCCTCACCACCTATGATGCTTCCCAAGTTGCTGATATCTATTTCCGAGAGATAGTCAAACTCCATGGCGTTCCCCGAAGCATGGTCTCGGATAGGGACACGAAATTCCTTAGCCATTTTTGGATGACCCTATGGAGAAAGTTGGGTACTAAACTGAAGTTTAGTACGTCAAGCCACCCACAAACCGATGGCCAAACCGAAGTCACCAACCGCAATGGGAAGAGCTTCTACCGCACGCTGAGTTTGCCTACAACCGAACCCCGAACAAGACTACCGGGCTCTCCCCATTCACGGTGGTCTATGGTTCGAACCCATTGACCCCACTTGAACTTGATCCGATCATCACGGAGACCAAATACAGTTAGGAAGCGGACAAGCGGTCAAAGGAAATCCAAGACCTTCACGCCAAGGTTCGAGACAAGATTGAGGCTATGAACGAGAAGGTAAGCGCATGCATCAACAAAGGAAGGAAGGACGTCCACTTCCAACCAGGAGACCTTGTTTGGGTTCACCTTCGGAAAGAGCGTTTCCCCACCAAACGCAAGTTAAAGTTGCTGCCAAGAGCCGATGGCCCGTTTGGAGTCTCAGAGAAAATCAACGACAATGCCTACAAGATCAACCTTCTGGGAGATTATGGAGTATCGGCTACTTTCAATATCAAAGACCTTAGCCCGTACTTTGAGCCTGAAGAAATGCCGAGTTTGAGTACAAACTCTTTTGAAGACCGGGAGGATGATATACCCCGGGTAACCACCAACGACTCTAAAGTCCTTAAACAAATCAACGGAATAATGGCCAAGTGTTATGATCCCTTTTGGAGTGAATTTATCACCATTAAAAATCATAACCTAACCATAATGTCCTTGGATCCTTCCCCACCATGAGGCCGAACCCCAACACTGGCTGAAACCACCCCACCCTAAATATCCAAACCAACCTTTAAAAAAACACAACCCAACCTTCCTCTTCTGCCCTCACCTTTGGCCGAAATACCCAAACCCAAAGCCCACACATTACCCCACCTTTTGAACCCACTTTAGATTAATAATCACAAT